ACCACCAACACCCCCCCAGCGGCCTGGGGGGGGGGGGGATTTCTGGAAGTTGAAGTCCATATACCTTCAAGTTGCCAAGGTTGAGAAAACACTGAATTACAGTCTGTATTTCAGCAGCACAACTTTCTTTTTGTTTAATTAAATAAAATAATGCTTGATATTTAATAGTATTTGGCCAGTTGAAAAATGAAGGGGTTGTTGGTTTTATTCTTCGGACTGTCATTATTAAGATAATCACAGTATATGATATGTACATATATAAGATATAGAATATATAAAGTCTGACAGAGGGTCAATACTTGTCCTATTGCCACAGATTATAAATAGTGTTTCCCTAGTTCAGTACCATTGAGAATAATTCCAAAAAATGTTAAATGTTCGTTTCTTTAAATAAGAAATTAATTCCAATAAATATTTTTGTTTCACATTTCTAGACATAATTATTCTAGCTATATTCCTATATTGATCAGATTATCCAAAATACTTTTAAACCTTAAAGCATTTGTATTTGGCGCTAGCTACCAGTTTGGCTGGCTTCAAAAAAGGGTTGGACTAATTCATGGAAGTCATGGGGATCAATGGCTATTAGCCTTGATGGCAGTTTGATTGCCTGTAAAGGCTATCTGCTGGGAAACTAGTGTCTTCCTCATGCAGTTGGTTGGCCAAGGTAACTACACGGGCTAGGGGTCCAATCCAGCAGGACACTGCTTATATTCTTATTTCTTGTTAATTTAATTAAAGCTGTCACAAGAGAAGATTAACACTAATATACTAAGATAAATAGTAAAACCAATTCATATTAAAAATAGCAAACTGTATCTCAAATAGCCATCAGAATGGTTAATTAACATTCTTCAAGTATATAATAGTTCATATTTGCAAATAAAGCTGTATAACTATTACTGTTTGCGATATGTGTTGTAACACAATTACCATTTTTTTACTTTACTATTGGTTTCCTACTGCTTTCTAGTTATCAAATTAGAAAAATGAATATTAGAAAATTTAAGTCATTTGTCCTTGCAGGTGGAAGATACATGAAGCTTGCATGCTGGCTTTAGGTTCTGTCAAGTCTCTTATCACGGACTGTGTAAAAAATGGAAGGATACATTTTGATATGCATGGGTTTCTAACCAATGTTCTTCTTGCTGATCTCAACCTGTCAGGTACTTATTGATTGTTGCCTAAAAATAAAATAAAAAATTTAATTTAATTAAAGCTGTCACAAGAGAAGATTAACACTAATATACTAAGATAAATAGTAAAACCAATTCATATTAAAAATGGTATTTATACTAGTCCAATATACAGTTTTTCCTGTTGCAATGCAAGCAGATCAAGTTGCCCTTATTAAATTACATCTCTAGCAAACTGTATCTCAAATAGCCATCAGAATGGTTAATTAACATTCTTCAAGTATATAATAGTTCATATTTGCAAATAAAGCTGTATAACTATTACTGTTTGCAATTCAAAAATTCAAAAACCTTCTCAAAGTAATGCTCTATAGACTTTGAATAAATTTTATGAGGATGGGTGTGGTTATGGACAAAATGTATATGACATTTGGTAGGTGTGAGTCCTTTTATTTATACACAGGATGAGATTAATTCAGAAAGCATTCTTCTAAACATAAAATCAGATTTAAAATTATGTCATTTAGTGAGAATTTCAGAACAGAAAAGGAAGTCATTTCCACTGTGGTCTGCAAATAGAAACTTGTTTCCATTCATTCAAAGTTCTGATAACATTACGTATGTCTTTTCTTTGTCAACAATCAAGAAAAAGTAAGGAATACAAACACATTCCTGGTAACATAATGGCATCTTGTCCTTTCTGTAACATGCATATCAGAAAAATTGTCAGGTACACTAATTTATTTGCTTTAACCTACACTTGGATAATTAAAGAACTATGCTGTATTACAAAGATGTAAATCAGGTGTGTGCACTTCATACCACTAGGCTGGAACATCCACCTTGTTTATGTGTAAATAGGTAACTTCTTTTTTACTGTCTTCAAGTATGTAAATTGTCTCACTAAGATTATTAGTCTGTTATTGAATGATAGTTTTGAGAGAAGACTACAATGGCAGTAACACTAAGGTTTTTCTTACAGTTTCGCCTTTCCTTCTTGGCCGTGCTCTTTGGGCTGCCAGTCGCTTCACAGTAGCAATGTCTCCAGAGCTCATCCAGCAATTTCTACAAGCAACAGTCAGTGGCCTTCATGAAACACAACCTCCTTCTGTGCGAATTTCTGCAGTAAGAGCTATTTGGGGGTAGGTGGCTCAAGACATATATTAGTTGATAATATTGTAAATAATGTAATATTGAGAATGTATAGTATTTAGAATGGGGGAATCATTGAATGTATGATTGTGAGAAATATTGTGCTGTGATACTGTCTTACTGACAATTATAGTTTTATAATTTTCCTTCTTAAAATGTTTTGGTTTTTTTTCTAGCTACTGTGACCAACTGAAGATCTCTGAAAGCACCCATGTCTTACAACCTTTCCTTCCTAGTATCCTTGATGGATTAATACATTTGGCAGCTCAATTTAGTTCAGAGGTTCTCAATCTTGTGATGGAAACACTTTGCATTGTCTGCACAGTAGATCCAGCCTTTACAGCAAGCGTGGAGAACAAGATTTGTCCCTTCACGATTGCAATATTTCTCAAATATAGTAATGGTATGTGCCCAGATTATGATTACAGATAATTATGTTCAAAGAACACTGTTGATGTCAAGCATTTTTAAAGAAAGAATTTGGATTATGCAGGTGTTGGTTTTTCAGTATTGTATTAGAAGGCAATAGGGATTTCTATCTTGGATGAAAAAGCCTTATCAGAAATAAATATATTATTAAGTTGATTTATAGAAAATATCCTAGCTAGAGTAGCACAGGTATGCTTGCTTCATACTGTGACAGGCAAGATTTTAGGACTCACAAAATTGCTCAAATGGTGAGCATGGCCATTTACAGAACACCCATTTACTAGAAGGAAAACTGATGAAATTGCACAATCCTTGGCCCCCAGGATGCTCTCTGTTTTTTATCTTTTCCTTTTTTCTGGATACAGTCTGAACAAAACACTTGGCTGAATCCACCCATCAGTGTAATTTTCTAAGAATGCATATGGGCTGTATGTGGGCCAGAATCCTTATTGGTAGGCAAGATGATGCTAGAGGCTGCATTTTCTTATTATAACATTATGATTTTACTGAACTATTTCTCTATAGTAATTGGTATTGTTTCTTTATTTAGATCCAGTTGTTGCTTCCCTTGCCCAGGATATTTTTAAGGAACTAGCACAAATAGAAGCCTGTCAAGATGCAATGCAGATGAGATTAATTCCAACTCTTGTCAGCATCATGCAAGCTCCTGTTGATAAAATTCCAGCAGGGCTTTGTGCAGTAAGTATAAGGACATTTTTCTTAAAATATAAAATCCTTTATATAGCCTGATTGCTGATTTTAAAAAAGAAATATTTGTTCCTAAGATCCTAATGAAAAATACATTAAACCTGGGACCCTCCGCAATACCAATTCTGTCAAGGCCAAACAATATAGGTATTAAACAGGCTTATGTGTTCCAGAAGTCTAAAAATGAAATTCTAATTAAACCAATTAATATAATAGTTAATGTTTAAGTTAATGGCATGAAGGACAATCAGATAATAATTTGGCATTCCATAGTTATAATTAGCAGTTTACAGGCTAACATGGAGATTTTAAGTTATTGGAAATTTAATATATTAATTTAAATAAAAGAAATATGACAAATGAATTCAAAGAAAAAGAAGCAAAAGGGGGGAAAGGTTTAAAAAGTTATTCAGTTTAATGGAACTTCCAGAGTTTAGCTATAGATGTGGAAAGCAAAAAAATAAAAATAGAGACTCAGTATTCTGCAAGATTTCTCATTGAGGTAAGAGGGCAAGGCATCCAGGGAAAAACTGAAAAAAATATCAAACTTCTCACCAACCAAATAGTATAAAGCAATGAAGGCAGGAAGTTTGAAGATGTCATATTCATATATACACATGCTAAAGATGAGGGGACCAGGTACAGCTTAGCTTAAGAATGGAGAATAAAGAAAGAAAAGGTTGTGTTTTTTCAGAAGAAGGGGGAAAGGGTTTCTGTTTCAAAGATGGAGAAGTAGAAAGAGGGAATCATCTGTTTTGGCCATGTCGGGCTATGTTCTCTTGCATTACCGACCTTGGTGTGATGGAAGTGGATTGCCTTCTTTTTGATCAAGAAAAGGGGATAGACAGAAAACATAAAAGACAAGTTGCTCATTTGAGAAGGATTCCTGGTTATTTTTTCTCTCTGGGTAGTATAACCTCTTCTTTCTGCTGAAGTAGAAAAGTTCCATTCAGCAATCTTTTATGGGAACCAGTTCTATGGCTCTTAACCTTAGCCTCTTAACCTTCTGCTTCCTACTACTAAGCTTGTTTAAATGTTCACTCTCTACTGCAAAAGAGGTTTTTGCTGCGTGCTTACTGGGGAAGGTTGCCTGGAATCCTTGCAAAATGTAACTCCTATCATTTGGGAGAAAAAAAGCATCATGGCCCTTTAATTAAGTGGCCACAAAGGAGGGAGATTTAACTAAGGTCAGTAAGCTATTTCCCCTTGGTATAGCAGGCAAATCTTGGTGGAACTTCCAGAACTGTTAAGAAAATTAGTAGCACATGCAGACAGGGCAAAAGGCAACAGCACTTTACTTTTTAAATTCCAGAATTGGAAGAACTGTGAATAACACAGATATATCCTTTGCCTTTTTACATGCTCTCCTGTTTACAGCATTTTGATACAAGCTTTAAATACATTTCTTGTACAGAGGTAAGGCTCAAAATCAATAAGACAATGAAAACAAATGAAAGGAAGTTATAGAAACAATAGCAGAGGGAATATCTTGATGGGCTTTAGTGGTCAGGAGATTGATCTATTATCAACAATAAGAACAATGATTCACAGTACTTACTTACTTACTTACTTACTTACTTACAGGCACTTAACAAAAGCCTGTTGTTGGGCATAGTATCTGCTAGCTATCCCATCTCCATAATCATTTTCATGGCCAATATTGCCCAAGTAGAGATAAGTGCAATAGAGAAAGTTGTGTTGCATCTTCAAAGCATTTTCTAGAAAAGTGAACAGTTTTTTTTTCTATCTCTTGCTAAAATATGATTCATACTGCCTCAGTTCTTCTAATTTAAGTAGCTCTTGTTGTAAAGGAAGGCAGAGAGAAAGCAAACTTAAGAGACATCAGATATAGAATCTTGCATTAGCCAGTTGCTATTTTAAAAAGATACCATAGAATACGAGAGCTACTGCATTAGAGTGATTGCAAGAAGAATAAAAAGATAAATGGGGAAAAAAGTCAGTGGAAGAGCTGGTGAGTGGGTGGAATTGAGAAGCTTCTTAGTATGAAACTAAAGTTAACACAGATGATGGGTTAGTTAAATGGTTTGTTCCTTTCCACTGGCAGGACCAAAAATTATCAAAGAAATTGATAGTTCCTTTCTTTGGTTCTTCCACAGAAATGTCTTTGGTAAACAATCTATCATCTGAAGACAGCTGTTTTCCATTTTTTACCAGCAGTTGTTTATGTATTGTATCAGTGTTGGCCAAGCTACTTTTCTACCAGGCTTCTCACAACTGATCATATATACCTGGCAGTCAGGGTGCCAGCCTTCATTTAAAAAATGAGCAGCTTGCTGCAAACAGCATTATTGGCTTTGTGGCATTAATCAGAATATTGGGGCTGCGCAAATATTGAGCCACTTAGGGGTACAGTTTAATGGTAGGATATAGCAAATCAGGTAATAATCTGTCTGGGAAGAAAGAATGCAAACCTAGTCTTAGGACCCAAAGTCTGTGATCTGGTTCATGTGAGATAATAAGGCTTATCATGGTTTGGCATAGAATATTAGAGCAGATGTCAGATCAGACTGATTTGTAATCACAATTTTGTTAGCCTTAATCACTATCTGGAGTATTGACTAACAACTAGTTTAAGATGAAGCAGCAGTTAAATGAGTTAGATTGCAGAAGTATCATTTATTTATATATCAAATTTGTCATTGCCCATCTTGTTAAAAAATGAGTCTGGGCAGTTTACAGAAAAGATAAATATTAATTAAAAATACAATATAATAATTTAATAATTTATCCTAAATAAATATTAAGCATCTTCCAAGATAATTGATAGTAAGTAAAAATTATAAGGCTCAGGGAATGTCATCAGGGTGCCAGCCACCTCCAGGGTTGGTTAAAACTCTTCTTGCTCCACACAAGCTGGGAGAACCAGGCCTTCCATTCTTTCTGGAAAACGGGGAGAGAAGGGCCCAGCCGCACTTCTGGGGGTAGGATATTCCAGAGGGCCAGGGCAACAGCAGAGAAGGCTCTCCTCCTGGAACAACTTGCTTCTGAAATTAAAAAAACAAAAAAACAAAATTTGCTCATTAGTTTTAATAACTATGGGATAAACTAATCCTATCTTTGTACCATGTCACTGTTTTCCCCCACAGCTAGTTATTTCACATCTCTGATTTCTTTTCTTTTTCAGACTTCAATAGACATATTAACAACTGTTGTAAGAAATACTAAACCACCCCTTTCAGAGCTCTTAATTTTCCAAGCTTTTCCTGCTGTGGCTCAGTGTAGCCTGCACACAGATGACAATGCTACCATGCAGGTAATGTTTTTTGGGTGGGGATGAAAAGATTTGTTTGGTCATCTGTGTAAAGTTTCTGTGTTTAGACTAATCAGTTTCATACTGATTAACATGCAGGGATTAATTGACTGGAAATGGCAACTGATTCCATTATTGGAAATTTAAATAGCTTTTTATTAATAGGATTTAAACACGAAGCACATCTTTCACAACTCTTTCTCTAAATTTCACTAATAGCAAAAAATTAGCATAGGTGCTGGAGCAAATGGCAGTGACAAAAAAGGCAATGTGCATTATTGCAACAGCACAACACAAGCCCCAGCCTATTGTACTTGCATCTTGATATTAGATGCAAATATGTTAATTAAAGAGTTTGCATTGTCACATCATGATACAGTTTTCATTATATCCTACCCCCACTCCTGCAACAAAGAAATTTAGCAAATTCCACCTGTTTTCCTCTTCCTTTTTTGGTGATTAGTTTGCTAAGTATATGCCTGACCTGATACAGAAGGCAGAAAATTAAAAGGTGATATGTAGTTGAGAAATACTATTTGGAGAGTGTATTTAATTCCAGAAGATTGATATACTTTGGACAAGCTTCACTAACCTTACTTTCAGAAAAAAACCTCTTGTTCAAACAAAAAAAGTTGATAAAATATATTTGTTTAAATACAACAATCATTATGGTATCTTTCAACTCTGGCTTTATTTCTTTGTGCACCTCTGTTTCTAGCATGCCTGCACTTAAATTTAACTAATAGTTACGAATAAAGTTTTCAAAGTTATGCCTTCCATCCAACCATTTAGAGCCCTACAAACCATCATGTGGGTTAATTTCATCCTCTGGATGTTTAGATTAGGAGTCCAAACATTGTCATTTTCCAAGTATTGTGCCAAATAAGGATTATTTTTTGGCATTCAAGCTTATCACCCTAGGTCTCTACAGGGGATTTGTGAAAAAAAGAAACAGAGTAAGGTCATCTGAAAAGATTTCCTCTGATTTATTTCTTTGATCACCAGTTACTATTTTATTCTTTGGGGTAAGATGTTTTGTTGTACTTCTGAATTCTTTCTAGAGTGAAATATTTTGTGAAATATTATAGAGTGTAAATATTTTTATTATTGTTCATTCAGAATGGTGGCGAGTGTTTACGTGCATACATCTCAGTAGCTCTGGAACAAATTGCACAGTGGCATGATGAGCAAGGCCACAATGGATTGTGGTATGTGATGCAGGTGGTGAGTCAACTTCTGGATCCACGCACCTCAGAATTCACAGCTGCCTTTGTAGGCAGGCTAGTTTCCACATTAATTTCCAAAGTTGGGAGTGAATTGGGAGAAAATCTGGATCAGATTCTCAGAGCAATTCTTAGTAAAATGCAGCAAGCAGAAACACTCACTGTAATGCAGGTAAGGAGGCTGTAAACTAGATGAAAACTTTATCAGAATATTTATTTAATGATAATAATTATCAGAATAACTGTTTGCATGTATTATATGTGTGTGTGTGTATAATTGATATTGATACAGATATCATTTTATTCATTATATTGTTCCTTAGAAATTATCAAAAAATAAGAAAATTGAACCTATTAAAATTCAGTCATATAATTACCTTCTTTTAATTCCTTTTGCAGTCTTTGATCATGGTATTTGCTCACTTAGTTCATTCTCAGCTGGAACCACTACTAGAATTCCTTTGTAGTTTACCTGGACCAACAGGCAAGCCTGCTCTGGAATTTGTAATGTCAGAGTGGATGAGTCGACAACATTTGTTCTATGGACAATATGAAGGGAAAGTCAGGTAAGGTTTTCTGTCATTGCAGTGTGTATTCTAAAGACTGGAACAAGTATCCAATTTTTTTTTTTCAGATGGTATCTATGTCAGTGTAAGAAGCAATGGTTTTTATCTTAATTTTATTATAATGAATTAAGACAAATTGACCTTATATGTAACTTGAAGTCCTTTATATGGGATCCTTTACAAGGATCTTTTCCTTGTTTAGAACACAAACATCTCTTATGTAAAGGAGAGGGAATATGCCCGTCAACAGTAGTAGAGGGCTGGATTTTGTTAAGCACTCTGCCCCCCATTCAACAAAGAAAATAGAGGAAGAAATGTTGTCCTGTGTTAGCTAGTAAGCTTGGGAAGTCTTTGTAGTAGGAAGGATGTCAAACTGGGTAAGAAGGAAGAAATAGTTGGGGTTAAGGAAAGGCATATTTGAGAGAGAAAAGCCAGAAGGTACCCAGAGAGCACCACACATGCAGTCATATACACAGATATCTGCACATAGAGAAGAGGAAGACATTCTCACCATTTTGTGAATGACCCACCCCCAGTCATACCAGGATGTGGCTACTTGAGAATCTGCATAAAAATTCCAAATCCTATAGGTTCAAAATGGTTAGACATCCCTAGTTTTAAGGCTTTAACACTTATGGTGTAGAGAACGCTTATAGGTTACAACTGTGCTGACAGCAGACTTCTAAAAATATCTGGGCAGAAAATCTCTTGTAAAAAAATTATAAGAAATTTATAGCACAGTTGTATAGATACTTACACCATTGGCAAAAAAATCTTCAAGTCTTCTTTACACAAAGTTATTTCCAATTCTAGTTCACTCAAGAATAATAACTTTAAAGTTAAATTGAAGGATGGTTGCCAAATCCAGCACTGAATAAAGATTAGAAATCTGAGTAGTTGACTTAGTCTAGTGTAATCCAGCAATTTTTTATCTATAACTCCTATAATATTTTATCATTGGTCATGCGATAGAGTACTATGGAAATTATACTCCAATAAAACAGAAAGTACAAGATTTCCTTCCTTTGAATTTCTACTCATGGAAAAAGCTTGATTGCTTTTGCAGTATGAAATTCCAGATACTTTTAAAGTAGGAAATTGAATAGCCATTTATTTGAGGCACTTGTATATTATTTTTGATAAACACTTATCTCAGAGTGATTTACAGTACAATTTACTTTAAAGCAATAGTAAAATATACATTAAAAAAAATCATTTAGAAAACTACAAAACAGCATAGTAGAACGTTTCCCTATTACCACTGGAGAAGTGCGCAAAAACAGTCATTATTTTTCAAGGGTTTGTATATTTCTGTCCTAAATAGAAATGTTCTGAATATCATTTTTCAGTTGAACCAACATATTAATTTATGGTAACACTCTCTGGAATTACAGGTAGTCCTCACTTACTGACCACAATTGGGACCAGAATCTCGATCATTGAATGAAGTAGTCATTAAGTGAGATGCCCACTGACTGCTTTCCTCAACAACTGCAATCTAGGCACTCCCGCTTGCAGTTTTTAAGTGATCTCCTGGGTCGTTAAGTGGACAGAGTGAAAGGGCTGCCTGTTGAAGCCCCTTCGCTCTCAAATGGTCCTGCAGCCCGCTGAAGGCTTTCCCCTCATGCATTCATGCAGGGGAAATCCTTCCGTGGGCTGCAGGAACGAAGCTGAAATCTTCAGGATTTGAGCTCTGTTCCTGCAACGTGCCAAAGGGTTTCCCCTCCACCCCATGCATGGAGGGGAAATCCTTTGGCAAGCTGCAGGAACAGAGCTCAAATCCTGAAGATTTCAGCTTCGTTCCTGCAGCCCACCGAAGGATTTCAGATCCCCTCTATCCCCTCCACTTGCAGCCTTCTCTGCCAGCTTCCCCACTGACTTTCTGGGGAAGCTGGCAGAGAAGATTGCAAATGGTGATCACGTGATCGCAGGGCACTTGGCAACTGGTCATAAATGTGAGTTGGTTGCCAAGCACCCGAAATACAGTCATGTAACCACGTGGGGGCGGTGTGACGTTTTACAATGGCTGGAAGTGCTTTATGGGCCGTAAAGCACCCTTTCCATGGCCATCCTAATTTTGAATGGCACAGTTAGTCATAGGTCGAAGACTAACTGTATTTACATTCATTATGTGATGAGAAATTTAACATCTTGCCTAAAGTTTCTAGTTTTAAAAATAACAAATTATTCTGTAAAATTCGGTAAAATAAATTATCATGTGATTATTAAGTCAAAGCAATTGTATTGACCTTCATGACATAGGTCCTGCTATAACATAAAAGTGAAAAAGTACAACCCAAAAAAAGTTATCGTTATAACTGTACACCATTCCAATTCTATATATGCTTATCTAATACAAATGTTATTCAAGTACATATACAGTACTGTGCAAAAGTTTTAGGCAGTTGTGAAAAAATGCTGTAAAGTAAGAATGCTT